CTCCGTTGGGCATCCACCTGCTCCGACATGGGAGTCCTCCACGGGCTGCAGGTGGATATCTGCTCCACCGTTAACCTCCATGGGCTGCAGGGGGACAGCCTGCCTCACCATGGTCTTCACCACGGGCTGCAGGGGAATCTCTGCTGCGGTGCCTGGAGCACCTCCTCCCACTCCTTCTTCACTGGCCTTGGTGTCTGCAGAGTTGTTTCTCTCACATATTCTCACTCCTCTCTTCAGCTGCAGTTACGCAGGCTTTTTTCCCCTTCTTAAATATATTATCACAGAGGCACTGCCACCATCGCTGATGGGCTCTGCCTTGGCCAGCAGCGGGTCTGTCTTGGAGGCAGCTGGCATTGGCTCTATTGGACATGGGAGAAGCTTCTAGCAGCTCCTCACAGAAGCCACCCCTGTAGCCCCCCTGCTACCAAAACCTTGCCATGCAAAACCAATACACCTGCACAAATATAGAAACAACTGCTGAGCAGCTGTTCTGTAGATAACGATTCAGGATAGAGAGGATCACAGACTGAGCACAAATTACAAATTTCAAGTTGTCACAAACAAGGCAACTTCCATCCATTGACAGGAGCTCAAATTCCCAATCTACTCAGTTTTGATAAAGCCTTTGGTAAAGTCCATTTTTGGGTTAGGCTTGTCAAGAAAGAGAGAAATCACAACAGAACTACAAGAAAAGACAGAGAGTTAATAATGTGAGCTACGAAGGATGAGTGAGCTAACTCATTGAGGTTGCCTAATCTGAATAGAGTAAAAAGAGAAGGTAAGATTGAGATATGATATATTTCTATTAAATATAGGAAGAGTTTCTGCAAAGAAGGAGGAAACTTATTCTCCACATCTGTGGTGAGCAGAAAAAGTAATGGACTCAAACTAGAACAAGAGAAATTTACTTAGGCCATTAGAAGAACTTTTCTAAATGGTAAACAGTGAAGCACCAGCCTAAGGAAGTCATGTTGTCTCCTATATTAGGAGGTAAAGGAAAAAAAAAATCATCTCACAAGAATTGTCCAACAATAGTGATGATGCTTTGATGCAAAGGGTCAAGATGATCTTTTGGAACCTTTCAGGCCTCTTTCTCCTATGAAGATATCAAAGTACTGAAAGCTCTGCAGCAAGACCAGAAGCTAAAAAATTAATCTGATCTTTTGCAGTACGAGGTCTTGCCGAATTACATCTTTCCATCCTTGCTACAGTTACACAACCTCTGAGGAATATTATTCAGATTTCTACCAAAAAACTGCTGAAAAGCCCATTAAGACAGCAGAATTCAAGCATTTATAAGTTAGAGACTGCCAGAATAAGGCACTATATTTAGTACTAACAGTTTTCTCTGTAGTACTATGATAAAGTTCCTTCAAGAACAGTGATCAGCCCTATGTAAATATTCTCAAGACAAATAAAACCTGCTCAGCATCTTCCTCCCAGATTAGCATCAGTCATGAAGCTATCAGTAGCTTTTGCTTCAGAGCTTACTGCTTTTTTTTCCTCTCTCCCAAGAGACGACTTCTGTTTCCCCACTGGTAAATGCAGACCCTAGAAGAGTCCTCTTGATTTGTCTGAGGTATCACGACACAGAATTATTCACTTCATGAAGAGTTATGACAACACTTTAAATAGTTACAATCATGATTAACAGATTTTTGGTCCAGAATATTCAGATTGAGAGCGCTAAACTTGTCAGCAGTGGTGATTTTTTGATCCTTGTTTTCAAGCACAATGTTGGACAATGCAGTATGATGTAGAAGGCACCCCAAAGCAGGACACTCTCAGGAGATCCTGTATGGCATACCAAATACTTGATTTCTGAACAAAGTCATAGAGCTGTCCTTAACGGACAACCAAAAATTAAACAGCCTTCACCAAAAGGGCACATAAAAGTTAGCTAATGTCCTAATACTCCAACTCAATCAAACCATCAGCTTTGTATTGCACAAGATTTGCCCATCCAGGGAAAATAAGCACCATGTTAGTAAATTCAAGTCATGGCTAAGAGAGAAAGGATGAGTCATGTTCAAAAACATGTCAGCTGAAGCATTAACCCTGGGACCTTCCAGGACAACTCTTTCACGAGAGTGTTTTATAACCTACAGTCCTCCATAAGCCGAGTAAAAAAGATGACTGCACTTCCCTTCAAGCAGAGATGTGAGCCTGCTCAAACTCGTTTCCCCCTTATTAGTAAGGAAAGGTTTACAGAAAGTGCTTGTATACTTTTCACAAAAGATATAATACGCTGGAGGAAAAAAACATGACAGACTACATGATTAGAAGCTTGCCTGGTTCACTTGCTCTCCCATTACATGCCATCTACTAAATGTCACAGTCCCCCTTACGAGCTATACTTTCTATCCTTAAGCCACTACTATGCATATAGCACTCCAATATAGACTGCCTTGTCTATTAACTGGAAAAAATAAGATAAATAAGAAGCAGCGACGTTGATGAAGCAACTGATGAATTGTTGTTGATGAAGCAAGGACAGGGTAGTTCATGCACTAATTGCTTTCATTGAGATGAAACCAGGTTCAAATCAAGGCAGAATTTAATTCTTCAGTAAAATACTTCACCTTAATTATAACTCGTAAAGAGAGAGAGCTAGAGTCTAAATATATGGATGCTCTGCCTCTACGGCACCCACCACTCCTCTTAGAATGGGTAAAAATTGACAGCTTTTATATTAAGAAATGAATCCCAAAACGTAGCTCCATCTCACGTCTTCCTGCAATCCCACTCAGAGGTGACTCAGTCACCTCCTAAAACTTATGTATCTGTAGCTTTCTCTCCATTAAGTATCTCATTATGACAAAGATCATACAAATGTAAAGAAAACATATAAAACAAACCCATTTTCAGTCTCCTTGAGTGAAGCAACTAAATGTTTTCTTGCATTATGCATATATACGTTCACTAACTGAAGAAAACTTTAGAAAATTTTACAGTTAGAGACAGAAATAAGTGATTTTTCAGCTAGCATCTATAAAGAAAACAAGAAACAATTTTTTTTAAAACATTCCTCTAAGTTAAATTCCCAAAAGATTACATAATTTTTATATAATTTGCTCCTTTTCAGTTCTTCACACAGATATATGCATATATTTGGTAATATACAAGTTTTACCATTTAATTTTTAATACATAAAATAGGTATAGTTAAACTAAAAAACTGCATATATGACACAGATTCAACAGATGATATATTCTTAGGAATAGCAATATCCAAAACACATTAAGTGTCATGCCAACATCGAAGGCGATATAATTACAAAAAAATATCACAAGCTCACACAGATGCATTAGAAGATTAGAGAATATGAGACAAAGAAAGAAACCTCCTGCCATTTACATCAAATTTCAAAAGTGACAGCAGACAATAAAGACTCACTTTGAGGACAGAGGTGAAGAACAGTACACTTGAAGACCAAAAGCCATCTTAAAGCTCCTAACCCTGTGTCCTAAGTGGTCTCTCTATCGTGTCCAAAGGTGTTCTTACACAGCTGGCCACTCCTCAGAAAATGAAATTGTAATTAGTCAACAGGATCAACCTGTCTGAGACTGGACTCCTTGTCAGTCAGAGCTCTTTGGCAAATACGCAGAGACCTTTGCCTCACGGGGAGCTCCCTGAAGAAAAAAGCCAAGTTTTCTTGGAATATGAACTAGAACGCTTTCAGTAACGGAAACTCAGAGACCAGGTCAGTCAGACTAGAAATAGGAAGCGTTTCTATACAACCCTCCCTGCCTGCTGTGTCTTGTTTCCAGGCTTCCATTTAGCCCTCAATGTCCAAATTGCAGCAAACTCTGTACAGTGCTATCTGGTCCCTAGGGAAGTTTCTCATCACCTCTGAGGACTGTCTGCTTCTCAGTGTTACCCTAGTCTCCCTGCATGAGCTGCAGGCTCCTGGCTGTCTACTGCATCTCTCACTCCTTCCTCCTCCCCTGCCCTGCTCAGCCTCCCAAAGCTTCTCTCCCTGAGCCGAACCCGGCTGTTCCCAGACAGCAGTCACCTCCTCTGTGATGCAGGCTCTGTCTTCTCAAAGACAGGCAGCACAACTGTGAACAGAAGTACAAAACAAACAAATGCTGTCTACCACAGAAGTGCCAAGTTACTTTTTAATGAATCCCCCTTCACTATAACGAAATGGGCTGTGTGCTTGCTAAAGCAAGTCCCTGATCATGCCTGATACTTGCCAAAGGGAAGCATTGGAGGCAGGACACCAGAGATGCACAAGCTCTGCACTAACTATGGCAACAGACATCAGACACAGAATCAGCAACAAGTGAGCCAGCTAATCCAAGTACCTACGCAGAGCAGTTACCTCCAATAGTAAAGTTTGACACTACATTATTTTAGAAATTATGAACAGCTGCTTGAAAACAAACAAATAGCTAAAAACATATAGTTCTTACGTTATTGAACCCGTTAGCTGCTCAGATTTCAAAATGAACCACGACTCTCTGCATTTTCTGGAACTTTGCTGGTGTCTCTACTCCAGCTACAATAGCCTGGATTCCTGTGAGGACATCTGCATTCTCCAGCCAATCACCAGAGTAAGTACAATGAAAAAGTACTTGTAACAATAGAAAAATAATATATCAAAGTTATCCCCTCACAAAATCAATAAACCTGAATTAACAGATTCAAATGCTTTCAGAGTTCAAGTTATATTTGAAAAATCTAAACATTGTAAGATTAACTTCAACTCAGTCTATGCAAACACCCCTTTGGCACTTGTCCCTCCCCGTTCACTCACATCTGAACTGGATCCCGTCAGGTGTCTGCAACTGAGCTACTGCAAGTGAGCAAGTTCAGCAGTGAAATAGCTATGGACACAATATAAAATGAGAATGTAAACTTACCTCATTCCTACCACTTAAAGGAAAGCATACCTAAAATTTAAGGACAACTGCAGGAGTAAGTGCATTACTGTTTCACATCTTCTCAAGTTTCTGACTAGTTACTACAGTTTAAACATCAACAACTGCTGATACCTGATCATTTTTCCAGATGCACTGAAAGCCCATGTCCTCTTGGCTTACTGCACATGTGCCTCCTCTTCAAGTCAGATAAATCAAGCTGTTCTCTGAAGTTGCACCATGAGTAATGTTTATGACAGTCCAGCACTGAATTCTTCTCTCTAGAAAGAAGAACAAGAAAACTCAGAATCCTATTCAACAAAAATGTATTTAAATAAATGCTCCCACGATCCACCCAAAACATCCCATTAGCACATCCTGATGTTATGTGGCACATTTAAATGCAGCAGAAAACATCAAAAATTAAGTATGCACTTTCAAAAAGAAGCTGGGAGTAGAAAAAGACCTCAACACATTTAGTACATCCTTTCTTAGCACAGGCATACACTCTATAATCCTTTTACAGTACAATTTTAACCTAAATTAAGCAAGCAGCTCCACTAAAAGAGCTCAGAGCTTTCCATATTACAAAATTACATCATCCAGGATTGGATTAGATTTTAAAATAACGTACTTCAAGATAATCTATTAATGACTTTTTACACTTAATTTTATACCTAAACTCCAAGTTATTTATCTTCCTAATTTTAAGCAAATTTTAGGAGAAGCATAAGTTATTACAATCCTCCTACATATATACAACTCATAATACCATTATTCCTCTTGCTATCAGAAACATGCAAGCGAAGAAACAACAAATACTGAGACTTCCAATCCTGAGCCTACGGCATCTTCTTCCCACCCCACAAAAATGTAAAAGGATGCAAGACTTAGCCCAGTTCTTCATAAAATTAAAAATAATCAATCCCTTGAAATTACAGAACTGACTGATACTAGCCTTTAATTGAAAGACTAAACTACCTGGTCTTAAAGAGATTAGCTCTACCTGCAAACATTGTTTTCCTTATATATTTAATCATCACAGATACAACAAGGCTACGACAACATTGAAGAAGGGATTCAGTAATACCAGCACAACTGTCTGCCAGAATTAAGAGACTTTAGACAACAAAAGCTAGCTGGCCTTGCAAAAACATAGGCACCATCTGCCCCATGTTATGTACCACATGCAATTCAGCTGGTCTCAAGACCACTCCCCAAAGTTTGGGAAGTTCAGCATATTCCTAATTTTTTGCAGCAGTAGGAATAAGCATCACATATTCCCCTCCCATGTCAAAACTGCATACATCAATTTAACCCAAGATTTCAGGATTATTTAAGAAATTATGTAGGAAACACAATAACAAGATCTATAACAACAATCCTTAGTGAGAAAGAAGGTGCCACCAGCACTCCTGTATAGGAGATAGCGATGACTATCAGCGGGAGCTGTTTGTTTTCTAGGGGTCCCCCCCACAGAGCAATTCACCCCACACTGTTCACAACCTTTTCTGCTAGCTGGACATTAATATTCTCACACATTTAGTTACTGGCAGTCACATATTCTGAAACAGTCACTTTCAATGGCAACATCAGAAAAACAATCTCAAAAGGACAGCTGTAAATTGGTTATTACAATTATACATACAACTTAAGAAGACAACAGTTACATTGTGTTACAAGAAACAAACATGAAAATCTTGTATTTAAGAAAAACCGTTCACAATTATAGAAGCTGAATAATTTCTATTGAATATGCCTTAAAAACTACTGACCAAGGAGTAGCAAAAACGATTCCTGCAAAACAAATTCCCAGTGCTGATAGCTTAACTCTGCACACATTTGCTGGTCTTTCACCAGCACTGTAAGTCTTGTCACCACTGTAATTTCATTTTAGCACTGTATTAGTTCTCTCTATCTTCTCCAATTTGCCACAAAAACAGGAAAGGTAATTCCACATTCCCAATAAGGGGAAGCTTGTGAAGTCAAGGTTAGGCTACATTCAGAGCCTATATTTGGTCAATATATAGGAGAATGATGATGATATAGCAATATTCTTGCACAAGAAAGTTTGCCAGTACCAGTTTGCAACCACTGTTGCCCTGTACCAGCCCTGTATTAACCATTTATTTACAGAATAATTTCCAGGTCAATCACCTTCCTGGAAGCAATACATCGATATGGGCAATGACAGACACACAACTGTAGTAAATCTGTTCATCCATTTACACCCCTCCGCCATCAGCCCCAGAAGGTAATTCTACCAGTGCACTGAAGCCTCTTGCTGTGCTTTCACACTGCATTATTTAAGCAAGTGGCAATGCTCCTCATGGAGGACTTCTCCCATCTTACTCAACAGTTTGCAGAGGAAAAATAAAATCCCCAAATCAGGTAAGTCAGCAGAGCTCTGCTGTATACTACCTCAAGTTGAAACAACTGGTCAATACCAGCATTATTGTAGTAGGAGATGGTGCCCAAGTAGTTTTACAAACACACCCAGTCAGCAACTCACTGGCACCAGTACAGCGGCCACACGGACATGTCCTGAGAGCGAGATGGGGACACAACATGAGCAAGAGTGAGACATGGCATCCAAATTCCTTGAAGTGCAGACATTTGACTACTCCAAAGCAGATTAACAAGTATACACCTTGTTACAGACCATGTCAAACACCTAGCAAAAAACCTTCTAGAAACTGGAAACATACCACATAGGTATATCGTTTAATTAGCACACTGCTGAGAACAATGTTTATTAAGCAGTTAATAACTCCTTCCAACAGAGGTAAGGAAGGATAGTTTAAGATTAAAACCAGAGTAAATATACATACATTTTATCAGGTTTATTAGACAAACTTTAGAGTTTATACTTTTTTTATATATTAAAAATGTAAATATTTGCCTTTGTTTACAAGAAAATTACATGGTGTTTCTATTAAATCAATGAAAAAGAGCCCAAAAAGCTAGTAATTACAATTTTTACCACTGTTTTAAGACAGGAATGGTGCATGTAAACACACCAAGGTTTATTTTCTTGCCTAAAAAACCAAACATTGTAAGTAGATACTACAGATGAAACAATAACACAGACTTGAGAGAATCAAAAACACACAAAACCGGAAAGATTGTATTTGATTACATTATAGTTTTAAACACAATTGACATACATAGAAAACAGCACATAAAATTGGAGAGTTGTTTGTAAAAACACATAGAATCATAGAATACCAGGTTGGAAGGGACCTCAAGGATTATCTGGTCCAACCTTTCTTCGCAAAAGCACAGTCTACACAAGACGGCCCAGCACCCTGTCCAGCTGAATCTTAAAAGTGTCCAATGTTGGGGAATCCACCACTTCCCTGGGGAGATTATTCCAATGGCTGATTGTTCTCACTGTGAAAAATTTTCCTCTTGTGTCCAATCGGAATCTCCCCCTGAGTTACTTGTACCCATTACCCCTCCTCTTTTCCAAGACTCCTTGTAAAAACGGAGTCTCCATCTTCTTTGTAGCCACCCTTTAAATACTGGAACATGGTGATAAGGTCTCCCCTAAGCCTTCTTTTCATGACACACTAGATGCCCAAAGTTGGCAGAATGCCATTGGAATAAATCATTGAATTTCACATGAAAAAATACAGCCTTCTAAGGACAGATTTTAAAACATTTGATAACTGCTCGCAAAGGTAGGAATTGTCAGTACCCTAGATGAGAAGGGGCTTCTGGGGCCGAAAGACTTTTACCACCAGATGAGTTTAGCTCTTTCTGCACTTCCATTTACCGCCACCTTTTCTAGTATTCTATTGGCTTTTAACACTTCTTTCCAGATTCAACCTGAAAGATTTTATGCATCTATAAGCCAACATAGAAGACAGCATGGTGTATCGCAGATTTAAGCTCTTAAAAATGCGTAAATGCACTTACCCACTTGGTAAAAACTGTTAATGCGAATAGAACAAATACAAAAACCAAACGTATGTAATACAGAAATCACACAAACTGGAAACAGGGTTACAAAACATACCTGCTGATTGGATTTTTTCTTCCTCTTTAACATAATCATCATGGACCCAAGGAATTTTTTCAATCTAGTATTTCTCATCCTAACAAAATATCAGCAGAATTCTGAGTATTTGGATTCAAATGCTAACCCCTGCAGATGGATTTTGTTTAAAGAACTGAACAAACAAAACATTATTTGCTTTGAAATTCTCCTACTCGTGGTGAAAGCCGAGCTGTACTGAAATCAATAGGACTGTTAGCATTGTTTTCAACAGAGCTAGAATTTCATTTCCTGTGTCCAACTTAAGATCTGTTAAAGATGCTGCTAACCACCATAACACGATTTTGCACTCTCACAATCACATCTATAGTTCAAAACAAAAACGTTTTGTGCAAAATAAATACTTACAGAGAAGGGTGCATAAACAGCGTGAAACTAGCAGCTGGGGCTGATTTCTTCAGAGAGTAAACTTTGTCCCCAGCCTGGTTGTTCTGCCTGGATTAATGCTGTTCCTGTACGATACCCAGGCCTTGAAGCCTTGGGAAATTCCTATCCCAACTCAGCAAGGTGGCAGGGTCTGTTATTTTAACTGTTGGCTGATAACAGCTTATCAGCAAGTTTTCAAAGGTTAAACTCAACACATTTGCATGGCAAAAGTGCAAAGAAAGCACAAGAAAAATGTTGAATTAGTGTTCCCTCTCCTGCTGCGGGTCCCTCCAGCAAGGGCCAGAACTGTTTCATGCACCACAACCTGCAGTGCAACACAGCAAAGAAAGTTGAACCAAAACTCCTGTTCAAAGAAATCGTAACTGAAAATGTCTTTGGAGGCCAGCAAGAAAGCAACAAAAGTGCTTTCTTTCAAAGGAGGAGCTTGCTTTGCCTGCTACATTCCCACTGTCTGCCACACAGGATGGAAAAGCTAACCCAAAACCTTTAAGTCTAGTCCTTAAATACAAGGCAATTTTATCACTGTTGCCAAATTTATCACTGACACCACAGCTCTGTGACAACTCACTGGAAAACAAAAACCAAAATAAAATCTTCAGTTTAGGTCCTGCTATGATTTTTGATTTCTATCCCAAGCAAACTACTGAACCATAAAGGGCTGATGCAACTTTAAACCAGAAAAAAAAAAAAAAAACCAGAGTTACAGACTCATTACTAATTCATCCTGGCTGAAGCTGCATACCAGCAGCTGCTGCCTCTCTCAATTAACAGCAAATATTGAACAGTATTGTCATTTAACGGTGTTTACTGCCTGCTGCCCTGTCCGCTGTCACA